GGAGGGGGCGGCACCAGGGCCGGGCCCGCCCGCCAGCTCCCTCCCGACAGGCGCCCGCGGGCCCGGCCCGGCCCTGCCTCTGGTCGCCGACACCGCACAAGCTGAGGGTGCGGGTGTGTTTGGCACTGGGCCAACACTGTTGCGGAGCCCTGCACTACAGAGGGTCTTGCCCCTCTGCTCAGGGTCATAGCGACCTTCATATTTGGGGCCAGGAAGGACTTTAACTCTGTGGTCAGACTGGGGCACGACCTCTCCCCCAGGGCCAGACACAGGCATGGGTCAACTGGGCAGCCGCCCAGGGCCCGGAGAGAAAGGAGGCCCCAAAATGGTGAAAGTAATGATGATTATTATCATTAGCGGTGGCGTGGGGATACGGGGACGATACTAAAAGTTTGCCCAGGGCCACCAGGAGCCTGGGTACAGTGCTGCTGTCCCCCAGGCCCCTTGTCAACGTTTCATAATAGCAGGGCATTGGCTGCTGCGGGTCCCTCTCTTCGCCTGCGGCAGGTTTGGGTGTTGGGTCTGTGCTGTCCAGGTAGTCTTATAATAGAGGATTGAACAGGATGGTTGGAGAGGGAGGATCCCACCTCAGGCAGCAGGTTGGATACGCAGATCGCTGGAGGTTGCTTCCAGCCCTGCTGCTTCTCTCTGTTTCTTTGCTTCATTAGTCCAGTAGTCCTTATAGTTCAAGGTAATACAGTACAGGTTTCTCCTGCCAACTGCAGTTTTGAGTATCCACGCTTAATATTCTAGATGCCATTTTGGCTACCACGGTATACTGTTTTGAGCAACCAGAGTTTTCCACGGCCGCAAGTAAGCCTGCCACCTGCCATTTTTTCCATAAGCCTTCTGTCTTGCCAACCACAAGAACTTTCAAGAATCTAACCTTGCAGTGGGCAAGGGAAACCTGTATAACAATATATCATAATGACATTATAATAATGACATTATTTAATACAATGTAACATAACAAAAAATCTAGCCCGAGTGTCTTGACAGTATCTCCAATACTTCATTGTCTGTCATTTCTATGCCAGAGTTCACATCACCACACCCGAGTTAAGGTTTTTACCTAGAGCTAAAAGTCTGTAGGGCTGTGAAATTACCAGCCAAATTGTGGGAAAAAGGATCATTTGAAGAGTGGAACATCAAGACTATTAAAGAAGGATCCAGCAGGGGTTAGCAAAATTTTTGGCAAAGTGCCAAAAACACCCCACCTCCACCCATGCTTCAATTTGGCATGCCAGAAATAGGGGAGCTGTAAGGGACCCCACCCTCATTGCTGGTGACAGCTGCACATATGCTTCTGGGTGGATGGCAGGGAGGAGCCAGGGTTGTGTTGCAAGGTGTGTGCACCTGCTGCCACAGAGCTGGTCCTGGTACTCTGTACCTCAGTGCAGCTGTTTGCAGCTTGCCCACTGTCTGCCGCTGCTGCCCAGAGCCCAGGCTGGCTGTGGCAGGCAGTTGAGAGGCTGCAAACAGCTGTGCTGGGCTCCACAGCCACAGCAGTGCCTCCATGGTGGTGGTGGCTGGGTGTGCACTTCTGGGCAGATGAGAGGGAAGGGGCCAGGAGCAGTGTGGGCAGCCAGCAGGGTGCAAACAACTGTGCTGAGCTCTGCAGCCCTGGCACTGGCTCCATGGTGGTGGCAGCTGCAGCCCTGGCACTGGCTCCAGGGGGATGGCAGGGGATGGGCCAGGATTGCGCTGCCCCAGCTGTGCACCCGGAGGCATGTGCCCAGCTGCAGCCACCATGGAGCCAGTGCTGGGACTGCAGACTCCCATGCAGCTGTTTGCAGCCTCCAAATTGTAGCCTCTGGGCAGCTGCTGCCTGCCACAGAGCCCAGGCCACCTGCTGCAAACAGCCTGGGATCTGTGGTTAGCAGCAGCTGCCCAGAGCCCAGGCTGGCTGTGGTGTGCTGAGGAAAATGGCCTCATGTGCCATGCTCTGGCATGTGTGCCAGGGCTTGCCAAACTGTGGGATAGAGGGTCATTAATACCTGCGGAGTGGAGAGAGATTA